GACGGCCTTCGCGGATGACACAGGGGCCATCATCCCTGCGGAGGTGGACCAGCTAAGGAGATTACAGACGGACCTTGAGCTGTTTGCCAGATTCTCGGGGGCTCGGGTTAACAGGCAAAAATCAGAGGCTATCCTACCAAAGGATTACGCTACCCCCGAGGGCTGGGACATACCTACTTGGAATGACAATGACAACCTGAGTTTTCTGGGTGCCATTGTCATTCCCGATGAGGGAGGCACCTGTCAAATGGAATCCTTGGCGATTGCAGCGATCACTCGGCTAGGGCGCTGGGCTAAAAGGGCGCACCTGGGGGCCTACGGAAAGTCACTGGTCCTCAACAATTCGGTGATGTCTACCCTGTGGTATGCTGGAGCCACCCATCTGCCGAAACGCCGTACTTTCCAACGCCTGCGAACTGCATCTCAGAGGTACTTGTGGTCGGGGAACGTGGAGGCAACAGACTCCATCCCAAGAGTGGCGTGGAAGAAACTGATTCAGCCCAGAGTGGAGGGTGGACTGGGCATTATCGACCCGGAATTGCAAATCAAGGCCCTGCAACTCAGAAGTCTGCTCTGGATTCTGCTGGGAATCATGGGAAGTGCCTGGGAACCCCTATCCCACCAACACATTGCTGCGGCGGCAGGAATCCCTGTGGAGATGGTCATCCTCGCCTTGGCATGCCCGGCTAGCATCAAACACGTGAAACGCAGCCATGTCTGGTCCACTATGCTTACATGTTGGAAGGAGATCCAGCCTGAGCAATCGCTCCCAACCACGGCCGACGAAGTATACAACCAGATTCTATTCGATAATCCCTGTATCTGCACGCCCGAGGGGGACCGATATGCTTGGACAGGGAGCAGGGGTGCCTTCGGGAGGCAATGGGCGGAATGCGGAGTTTTCAAAATCGGCCACCTGTGGTGCGACGAAAGCAGTGACTGGGCCTCAGCGGAGCAGATGGCGGAGCGGCTTCCCTACCAACCTCACAGACAACAGCGACTGACAGACCTTAGAGAGGCGATTCCCACCCAATGGGTGGACCAGTTAAGGACCGACAGCCTGCAGGAAGGTGAATGGCTTAGGAAGAAGGGAGAGTCCCACCCCACTATTCTGTTTCGCATCACAGGAGTGAATGGGCATGAGGTAGACACCCAGCAATGGGAGGTGCATTCAGGCTACGAGGGACTGGGCTCTTCAATGAGGCCTTGTGCAGGTATAGGGAATACCTCGATCTGCAGAACTGATTTTGAGACTGTCGCAGTATGTAAGGGAGGTAGAGTGGGGGAGTCAACTGAGGATTACCTCCCTTTCTGTGTACGAAGGACTAGGCGACAGTTGTCAGTCGACCCAAAAGAATGGTCCTGGCCCAGGCAGAACCATCATCTCAGAAGAACCCCTCTCCACCAGGTTACCACGAAGATGATGTACAGCTCCTTGCTCCCTAAGGAGGACATACGAGAGGACCTTGTGGGCAGATGGTACAAGCGCGGATGGGTGCCAGATACCAAGCTGCACAGATGGAAAGCTAGTGTCTGGCGAGAACAGAATGCTTTGCTTAAAGCATTCACTAACCAGAAACAGGCTGCATTGCTATGGTCAATCTATCACTTGGCTGTCCCCACTGCGCAGTGGCAAGMGAGCAAGAGCCASTTSCTCGATACAGGYTGTGCAGCCTGCGGCCAGATGGAGTCGATTCCCCACCTGTTTGTGCAATGCCCACAGGTCAGGGAACTGTGGCAATGGTGGGAGGGTGAGATGGCGGAGAAAACCCCCCTTGCGGTGACTGAGGACGATACAGCAGCCATCCTGTTGGGGGCAGTTGTATCAGTGGATCGGGAAGACAAAACACGCATGTATGCAGGGGARGTAGTAAGAGCCTCTGTACTATGGGCCATATGGACCTCGAGGAACGACAGGATTCGAAGGGGAAAACAGAGCTCGTTTGCTAAATTGCGCCAACATTCCATGGAGGGCATCAGAACGGCCATCTCAGCAGAAGCTTCAAGGAGCAGAAGATCATCAACTGTGGGTCTACAAAAGTTCTAGCGTATCTGGGGGGGATATCCGGATCTTGTCCGACAAGATGGCCACGATGGAGCTTGGAAATTTGGTCCGCTTTTGACTGTGGATCCGTCTTAGTAGGTTCTAGACAGGGCAAAATTKAGTGTATATTAGGATAGGCTGCTTTCCTTCCCCTCTTGTCTTTTCTCTTTTTTCTTTTTCTTTTTTTGGGGTTAATATGAAAAGTTCTGGGTTTAAAACTGACAAACATTACAAATCATAGAAAAATTAAACATTGGTACAGGCCTAGAGTATAACAATTGAACGACGCCGRGTAACAGTATTTGTTCTTATAGTACAGCGTACTTGTTTGAACTATAGTACAGTCTAAGTCCGGGTATATTGTGGCAAAGATCTGAGATATTACCTAGGTAAGGTTAAGGTACCTTCGTTTGGTCTGATATGATCAGTAAAAGTGAGTTTTTACTAATTGGAATAGTTAACTGATATTCTAGCCAATTGGGCTTAGTACACTTAGTAAGATTAGTGACATAACAATTTCAAGATGTGTGACCTGTTTTGGGGGTTGGTAGACTACGACACCCCCCCCCCCCTTGTAGGCTTGGGATTTCTTGTGTCTGCCCGGGTGGGTGTCTGGGTACTCTTGGGATGTTTCCCGGCTCACCCGTGTCTACCATGAGCCCAGTAATGTAGGTGAGGGTGTATGTCGCAGTCCCCTGCCGTCTGGTGTCTCGGGCCGGGCAGGTAGGCCCCTTCCTTCTTTTTCCCCCTGATGTGATGTG